ACACCTTGCTGTATTGTAATGTAGGGACTTGCTACTGCAGACTGTAGTTGGTTTTTGTTTTGTTTTGTTTTTACTCCTTACTCTTTGAGGGGCCTGCTACCCAGCTCCCAAATAAACACATGAAGACTTATTCTTACTTATGAATGCCCAGCCCTAGCTTGACTTGTTTCTAGCCAGTTTTTTTTTTTTCTTAAATTATTCTATCTACCTTTTGCCTCTGGGCTTTTACCATTCTCTATTCTCTATTCCTTTCTTTCCTTCTTACTCTGTGGCTGGTTGTGTGGCTGGGTGACTGGCCCCTGGTGTCCTCCTCTCCTCCTTTCTCACCCCTCCCTCTTCTTCCTCCTGTTTATTCTCTCTGCCTAGCAGCCCTGACTATTTCTCTTTCCTGCCTAGGTAGGTATTGGCCATTCAACTCTTTATTAGACCAATCAGGTGCTTTAGGCAGGCAAAGTAACACAGCTTCACAGAGCTAAACAAGTGTAACATAAAAGAATGCAAGACATCTTTGCTTCATTAAACAAATGTTCCACGGCATAAACAAATGTAACACACCTTCAACTAATATTCCACAACAACCGTCACTGTGGTTTAAAGTGTCTTCATTGAGATACTGAAGGGAGCCAGGCACGGTGGCACACCTGTAGTGTCTGCACTCAGAGGAGTCTGAAATAGGACTGCTGTGTCACATAATGAGCTCCAGGGCAGCCTGAGTTACAAAGTGACATCTTGTCTCAAGAAACAACCAAAAGCAAAATGCTAAAAATGCCCAAACAAAGACAAACCTAGGCACATTGTGTGTGTGTGTGTGTGTGCGCTCGCGTGTATAATATATATATATATAATGTAAAACATATAAAATCTACCCAGACATGTGCTATCAATGGCCGAGTTCTCAAAGGCTCGAATTTGGCTCCCTGGGGCCACTTTCAGACCGAAAGCCAGCCACCATTTCAAGAACACATTTCCTAGTGGTCAGAACTGTTTGACCAGTTGATCTCCCCAAGAATAAGAAAATCACACTGCTGGCCTTTGACTTAAAACCTTTTCTTGGGGAATCAGTAAGAGTTTGGGTGTTAGGTAAGAACTGGGCTAGATGTGGTAACTTACATCTACAATTCAGGACTCAAGAGTCTGAGGAGCACCATGATTTCCAGGTGAGCCTGGAATGCCATGTGAAACTCAAGAAAGAGAGAGAGAGAGAGAGAGAGAGAGAGAGAGAGAGAGAGAGAGAGAGAGAGAGGAGGGAGGGAGGAAGGAAAAAGACAGATAGACAGAGAAAGAGAATGAACGAAATTGGTAAAAGTTGGACCAGGAATACCCTTTCTTTGTGGCCTGCCTACTTTGTTATGCTATTAGCATCCAAATTACTCTTTAAAAGCACAGCTGTAAGCTATTTAAACTACAGTAGTAACAGGAGCATGAGATTCATCTGATAGTTCTGGCTCATTATCCTGCTGAACCAAATGATAGCTCTGTGATTGATCACTGTTTCTAGCTCTCTAAGCCTCAGTTTTCATATTTCAAACTGGAGTATGAGTCTGCCTTGGAGGGTTGCTGTGAGAATCAGAGATACACGTGGAAATGCCCAGGAAATCATGGTCGCTACCACATAGTGCCTGATAACAGAGAGACTGTATTCATTAAAAAGGATTTGGAGGAAAAGCAGAACCTTTGTAAATTTACAGCCAAGAGAAGTCTAATGTGACATAATGTTAAATGTGATGTTTAAAATTTTAAATAAATATGGAATTCAGATAATAATATTTAAAATAGGTTAGAAGAAGATAGCCTTGGGTTCAGGATGCAACTTTGCAAGTTACTAGTTATGTGACTGTGGACAAGTTATTTAGAAACAGGTTGTTTTGTTTTTGTTTTATCATTTTTTTTTAGCTTACTATAAAATGAGACCATAATAGCATTTGCCTTGTGGAGTTGTCATGTTGTCATAATGTTAAATGCATGATGCTATAAATTCTTAGCACAGTATATACTAAACAGTACAAATTAGACACTAAAATGATTAATCTTCCATAGAAACTTACTGGCGAAATAAATTTTAAGAGTTTGGTGGAATATTGTTTAGGTAAAGGGGAGAAAAATGGTATCATCACTCATGGAGAAAGTGGCGGACACACAAATTGGAGAAGCATGTAGGGAAGGGGAAAAGGCTTAGTATCCATAGGCATCACTTCTGGCCCTGGGAAATTGTGGGGTACAATCGCAAACATCACTAAGGGACACTAACCTGTGTGAACTCACCGTGTTGCTGACTGGTCTTGTTCTCTGATCAGTAATAGGAGAAGGAAAAGCAAGGCAAAGGGCAAAAGCCGTGGCGGGGAGTTAAATCAGGCAGGAAGTTCCATCTCTGTGGGCTGCGTCTCCTTGATGGGACTTGCTGCCTACACAGAAAACCTGGGTCACAGAGCATTTCTCAGAAGCCAGGCATGGTGACACACATCTGTAATTCCAGGATTTAGGAGGCTGAGGAAGGAGGATTATAGGTTCCAGACCAGCCTGAGCTACACAGAGAGACCATTATCTCAAACAAACAAACAAAAAAAAAGTCTCAACATAATAAGGTTAATACTAAAATGCAATTTACAAAAGTGTACATGCAGTCAGATCAATACTATGAGACAAGAGAAGCATGCTTCCATATGGAGCAAAAACAGAAGATAACAATAAAGAAAGGGAAAGCAGTTAAGAGGCCGCTAAAGACTGGAAAGCAAAGGAACCAGCAAGTTCCTAGCGGCACCTGGAGCTTCTACATAGTGGCTGATTCCTCCCATGAACTACATTTTATTACGTTATATTCTCTCTCTCTCTCTCTCTCTCTCTCTCTCTCTCTCTCTCTCTCTCTGTGTGTGTGTGTGTGTGTGTAGACACGCGTCAAAGTGAGCAAAGAGATCAGAGTAGTCAGTTCTCTCTTTCCATGTGGATCCCAGGGATTGAACTTGGAGAATGCAGGTCACCTGGCCGGCAGCAAGTGCCTTTACTCACTGGGCCATCTTGACAGCCCCAGGGACACATTCTTTTTAATGCAATCATCTGTCATGGCACTAGATAAATTCTGTTTGAGTATCTAGGGCTCCTGTAAAGTTTTCTTCTGAGAAAATCACCCAAATTCTCGACAGAGGGAGCTATTAGGGGAGGGTTGAAAGATACCTGGTAGGATTTCCCTGACTTATCTACCAATCAGAGACTTTACAGAAACCCAAATGCTCAAGAGCAGCGGGAAATCAGCTGAAGAAGCAGCATGTTGTTTATTGATTGGCTCAGTTCCTCTCACCAAGACTCCAGATTAGGTGGCTTAGAGGGCAAACTCTAGGTAGCATTTTAAAATTTCCCCTGGGGATTGTACTGCAATCACTGACCACACTTTTACCTCTAGTTTTCTTTTGTTTACAGTTTGGTCATTTTGTTATATTTTGATATGGCTCTTTGGAAGGACAGTCTCAAAAGAAAACAAATGTATAAGTAATTTTTTTATTGCTACCTCAACTTTGAAAAAACATATATATACTTTAAGTCACTCTGGTTATTTTTGTTTTAACAATCAGTGGTTGAAACTCAGGCCTAAAATGAAGTCTTTTTCTCTTTTCCCCAACTGATGTGTTGTTTCCTCCGGTAATCATTTCCTCATTTGCATAGCTAATAAATGGTTAGTTGCACAAGAAGCAGCTGTAGTCTATAATTTGAAGCATTGCTAATTAACCTTGAAGCTTGCATTCAATTCTAGGTTGAAATATCTGCATCAATTTATAAACTCAATATTTTGAACTGGAAACACCAACTGTGCATTCTCTGGCATCATTTCCTGGTCATTATTGAACATTCACGCCCAGTAGATACCTCACAGGCTGCACAGTCGACTTAGACTTCAAAGGGGTCATCTTCACGGAGAGCCAGAGGGAATAGATACAAAATGGGACAATGTTTACTGTAAGAAAAAATTTTAATCACTGGATATAGAGCTAATGTTTGTTAATATTTCCATTCTTGTGTCCTTTACAATCATCAAGTAGTACACATTCTTTAGATAATAGAGTTTAGAAACAA